GATAACATTTTATGCCCTTCTTGGAAATGAACAAGCGCGTCGAGTGGATATGCGTAAGATCCACGCGTACATATATATACAGTAGAACTACACACACATACTCGCAGTGCGACTTGCAAATGGCACGACGTGATAAAGAGTGTATGTACTTTGTAACTGTACAGCGCTTGAATGAAATTTTCGCGGATAATGCGAGGAAAAGCAGGAAACTTTGTTTATTCATTACGTAAGCGACTCGGTGAGTGTATGTATACCATGTATGTATGTATGTGTGTGCGTGTCCACGAAGCTGACTCAACTGCTGCGACCTATTGAACATCGCGACGCGCAGACCGCAACGCGCCGACATTTGAGTAGTGGTCTCTCGAGTAATGTGCTCGCGAGACCAGCCAAGTGAACTACCCCGACTGTTTTTGCTTTGCCTTTTATTGAGAATAAGCTAGATGCATTTTTTACCCCTATCTGCAGGAGTAATTGAGAGTATTATGACTGGACGTTCCTGTAGTAAGACGGTTTTCCATGTATGGCTATATTCAAATAGATTTTCAAAAATGTGTCAAGATATTATGAAAGGTAAGAAGTTTTTACATTTAATAAAGACAGTAGTAATTTTAATTGTAAAATACATTGGGGAAATATTAAGCATTTAACTATCAAGATTATTCAAACCATATTGTATTCATTAGTTATAATATAATTTTTTTATTTATTATTTTTCCGTAATAATATCATATTGATAAAAGAATGTTGACTATTCATTATACATGAGATACATAATGTCATTTCTTCAATGATATAATTATATTTTTACTTCGTTTGCGTTTATAACTTAAAAATTTTGGTACATGATTTGTAAATATTATCAAATATTATTAAATTAAATTAAAATTACATTAGCATCTATGAGCGTGCTGCGCATGCACTAACCATACGTGTACTCTATCACGTTATCAAGAGTTTAAAAATTTGCGTTAAATACTACGTACGATACTTGACTAAATCTGATACTAATCACAATATATTTATTTTTACGAAACAGTGGAACCATTACTTTATCAAAGGAAAAAAATATAAGATGGCAATAGTACACACTCTAATTAACAAAATTAAAAAAGTCATCATCTACACAGACTCTCAAAGTGCTCTGACAGTCCTAGCTAACTACTCCTCAATCAAACAAATGAATACCTCCTACATTATCCTAAATAATATATCGCTACTTTTCTTAGCTAAAAACAAAATCATAGATATCAAACTAATGTGAATCCCAGCTAATGCTAACATGTCGTACGTCGTTACGTACAATGAAGCAGTATAGACACATTGGCAAAAGAAACAATAGAAACAGGAACGCGACTTGTCTTCAACCTACCATAGAGACCTAAACGAAATAATAACAAATATCACCAACTAAGAACACAAGCAACAAATATTGAACTAAGCCAAATTCACAGGCACTCAATATTTTTCAAACTGTTTCCCACAAAGCACAAAAAAGCCATGGTCCGACAAGTCAAGGTATGATAGATATACCACATCACTACGATCAACCAGCTAAGAGCAAACTACCATTCACTAGGAGAAAGCCTTCAAACAAGGATAAAACGATTTATTTAAATGATATTCACGGCATTTTTGATCGAGCTTTCTTAAAAAGTGCTTCAACAATTACTACTGTGAACGGTTTTAAGGAAACAAGAATCTGTTCATATAATAAGAAATATTTTATTAAAGAATATTTTTCAAATAATATTTCGACGATCAATCCAAAAAACCCCATCCAATGCAATCTTTTTAAAGCTTAAAAATATAATATTAGAAATTAAAAACCCAGGAAAAGAGGTAGAACTTATATGGATATCTGCCCATGTGGGTATAAATGAAAATGAGCAGGCTGACTCTTCAGCTAAAATCGCGACAAAAGAAGGTAAACTCATGAAATCGACAATTCCTCATACCGACCTAGTTGCCAAATTCATGCGAGACATCAAATCTAATAATAATAGTAAACTCAAACTACAAGGAGAAACGAAAGGTAGAAAATTCTTTGAAACATTTTACAACGAAGAAAATAAGGAACCTTATTTCCACAGTTTTGATCACTTTGAAATATCGAGAAGAGCAATAGTTTCTAAAAACAGGATTTGGAGTATTCATACTTTTCTCAATCATAGCTTAGCCAGATTTGGAATCGTTGAATCCGACCTGTGCTTGTGTGGGGTAACACAGGATACAGCGGATCATATATTTTGGCAATGCACACTATTTGACTCAACCCAACTTCAAATGCTAAAAAAATTAAGGGCTATAGAGCTATACGGGCCTTACTTGACATACGCCTTTATAGTGACAATGAATGTTAATATAATTCGCATACTAGGGACATTTATCGACAAAATTAATGTAAACAAAACCTAGAGCCAAAGGTAAATCAACTGTGATTATAAGTATAGAGTATAGAGAAGAGCTGCAAGAAGCTAAAAGAAAAAAAAATAACCAAGCTAAGCCATTGCAAGTAAAGACAAGAAAAATTGTTGCTGATGTAACAAACTAAGAAATTCCAACGCAGCAACCGATTCAAATACAAGAAATTCAGATGCAGCAGCCAATTCAAATGCAAGAAATTCATTTGTCTTACAACCATTTTATATACTTGAATAACAATTAAGTTTTTAATTCAAATGTGATTACACTAAGTACTAATAAAACAACTATAAGTTTATTAAAAATACTTGTTTGAATTATAAAATCTGTTTAATATAATTTTAAAAACTTTTTGTTAGATATTGTCAAATGTATGAAAGTTGGTCCTATTTATATGTTATAATTTGTTGGATAATTATATAATTAAAAACAATGTGATGTACAAATTATAAAAATTTAATTTTTGAAAAATTTTAAAAATGTTAATAAAATTAATTGTTTTGGGTTCATTGAAAGCTCATAATTTCAGGAAAATATTTTTTCATTAGGTTTAGTGTTTTTTTCATTTTCTGAAAGTTTTTTTTTATTCTGCCCCACCCTCCTTTACAGGAAAAGTTAGATGAAAAAAAATTCATAGATTTTAAGTGCAAATATGTTAAACCTGAACTACCGTTACTATCGACAACCATCTGCAAATCTGAGAATGAAAATGTTCAACATTTTGTAAAAATAGAAAGCGAAAATCAAACCAATAACATGAATGAAAATATATTCATTAATATTGCAGTACATGATCATGTCAATGTGAGATTTGTCATTTGGACTTTAATAAATTTAAAAATATTAAAAAAAAAGAAGAGGTTTCCGTGCAGTCATTATTTCATCGTTTTTTAAAGATTACAACAAGAAAAGCCCTTTCCTCGGCCCACGTACTAAATACACCATATTTTTATAAAGTAATATAAAGTATAGACGAAGGCTGAAAATCGCATTTAAGTGATGTCCTTGTTTACGTGAGAGAGCTACTACTGGTAACGTGGCTCTGAGAGCTTTTATCTCTCGGTGGAACTTGGCGGGCCGTACATAGTGCACAAATTATCCGGCGACTGTACTTTAGGCTCTTAGGCATTAGGATCGCGCGCGTTTTGAAATAAATTAAACTTATATTGACTGCGAGAGGCGCGCACGTGTGTGCTTATGTGTGTGCAGCAGCAATCACAAGCAGTGTCTCTCCTTCCCAGCTGGGAATCGCAGTTCTGTAAGTACACACATGCAGCGGTATCGCATGCGATCGCTTCGGTATATATATAATACGTATTATAAAAATGAACGACCCCGTGCGCGGCTAATTAAGTTCGAAGCTGCAACGATGCAACGTTTCGCAGCCAATACACATACAAGGCACTGCAGCAGTGCTCCGCCGTGCGCGCGCTTGAGCTAGTATTCGAACGGTCCTGGAGCGATGCAGCGGTGCATTAGTTGGCGGCGGCGGCGGTGGGCGCGAATAGGGTCACCGCGTCGTGCGTGCGAATCCGCGCCGCGCACCTCGCACCTTCTTAGCTGACTCTGTACTCTACCGAGAGAGGCTGCTTACGCGTTCCATTAGTCCTTGTCATAAAAATGTCGCATTTCTCCCATACCGTACTAATCGCAAGACTGCCTGACTGCTGCATTTTCTTCGTCGTCGTAGTCTTGCTTCGTCTTCTTCTTCTCCGCCATCTCCTCACTTCGTTCCCTTCTTTTTTCATACGTTCACGCATGCCGCGGCAGTTATTATTCTTTATGCTACTCAATGTGGCATATTTTACACGACCAGTATTTTGTCATTGTCGTGCGAATTCCTTTGTAATTGTTTGTCGCGCAGCCAATATAATTAAATCATATCTCGTTATCTTTTACAGTTCTTAAGTTGATAACGTAATTGTTTCAATCCAGGTCGTTCCTCACTTTGTTTTTCATTTGTTCAGGTTGAATTGAGTTATAAAATTGTCAATTTTTTTTCGATCGTGTACATAGAAGCAAGAAAAAGTAATTAACTAGGATTCTGGTCTTGAAAAATAATATACGAGTTATTTTACAAAATATCATCAAAATTAGCGAATGAAGTCGCGAAAAAAATTTTCATCACTTGACGCGTATGCTGACCATTAAGATCTTTTTTGGGGATTCCAGAAACATGGAAAAATAAAGGAACAATGAACATTTTTTATACTTTTTACTTTTACTATATACTTTTACTAAAGTCTATAACCCAAAACCGTTCTCGAACTCTTTTTTAACTTCGGACATCAAATATCTAAAGAAAAAATCAACAGGGTTCAAAAAATGTCATTTAAATATTTTTTTCAGTGCCTTTTCTCCAAAAATTTATTGATTATTAGCAATATAAATTAAACATAATTAAATAATTTTCCAGTAACTTATAATATTTACCATGAATAAAATTTTTAAGTGGTAATATATGAGTGATGACGCAGTTGGAAATTTCTTTCAGCATGTATCATGTAAATATTTGATATCTTTGTGCTTTAATTTGACATGCATATTAAGATGACCCTTTTGTGAAAGTGACTTACCGCATACATCACATTCGTGTATGATACAGTTATGCACTGAATCGATGTGGAATTTGAGGTTACTTTTCTGTGTGAATGTCTTCATACATATATTACATTTATGAGTAATTTTATTATGGACCGAATCGATGTGGACTTGGAGATAATACTTGCGTACAAAAGTCTTTCCGCATAAATCGCATGGATATTTGATACCCTTGTGCTTTGATTTAACATGCATATTGAGATGACCCTTTTGTGAAAAAGTCTAGCCGCATACATCACATTCGTGTGTGATACAATTATGCAATGAATCGATGTGGGATTTGAGGCTACTTTTCTGTGTAAATGTCTTCATACATATATCACATTTATGGGTAATTTTATTATGTACCGAATCGATGTGAATTTGGAGATTACCTTTTTGTGTGAATGTCTTCGTGCATATATTACATGCATATGCGTGTAAATGTCTTCATACATATATCACATTTATGAGTAATTTTATTATGCATAGAATCGACGTGAATTTTTAGATGAGATTTCCGTTTAAACGTTTTTCCACATGTACCACAGTTGTAGGTTAACTTTTCTTTCACTTTTTGTTTTTTATTTTGGTCACAGTTCAAATTTATGTTCAATTTGTTTGCATCGTCTTCGCCAAATCCTTTTTTTTACTGTATCTAAAGGTTCTATTTTAATCATTTTAAGATTTGCATAAACATCTCCATATTTCATAAATTGCCAGTGATTATCAGAATAATCTTCAATCTTTTTAACTGCTGACGAATCCACTTCAGGTTTGACATCTTCACATTCAAAAACTATTTTCACTTCGCCATCAAGTTCTCTTTCATAATTTTTTTCACATTTTCGAAGGGTATGAATCTGATGAAAAATTAAAGCTATATGAGAATTTTTTTTTAAAGTAACTACAATGCGAGTTAATATAATTATCAACAATTACTGAATTTTCTCGCAAGAGTGGTAACAGTTGGATGTTTTTAAAATCATGTGCCTCGTTAAACATTTCACAATCATTTTTAATAAGCGACAGATCACCATGTTCCTCTTTCACGTTTACACGAGCACACTCAAGACTATTATCAGTGGATTCCATCTTTTTTACTTGGAATATCTATAAAAATTAATGTTACTGAGATGATTGTACATCGTGTCAATTGTATACTCGGTATGACTGACGAGGACTACTGTGTCGCGCTCGATATGTTTTGAAAAACTGTGTCGATGCGAAGAGCATCAGCTCGACCAGCTCCGCGACACATTTCTTATCGGTGTAGCGTAGCACTATGGCATGTTTCACAGAAAATCATCGTGCGGATCAACTCGCGGAAAGGTCGTAATGCGACGCGCAGCGTAAACATCAGGGCGAGCATAGCTCTAGCTCTCTAAGTAAATTTTTCTGTGTAGTTTAAATTTGATTCAATAATATTTTCAAATCATGCCATGAAATTTCAAATTTACAATGCAAATGAAGCAAATCCAATCGGATCAAGCGGTTTAAATAGTTTTTTGAAATTTTATAACTTTATGGCATTGTTTTGTTTTCTTTACTCCAATGCAATTGCTTTTAAAACAAGGCTTACATTCCGAAATGTATAATAGGTAAATAAAAATATACAAAAAGATTCTTTCATACATTGAATACACTTAAACATTTAATGGTTAAATGACATTATCATCCCTAAACCTTAATTATACTAATGGGATCAATAGTCTTCAACGTTGACGATATTCGGTAACTAGAAAAAAGTATCGATTATTGATTCGAGGGACATACGTTGACTAATAATCGAAGAATTAATGTATTGGCCAACGATAAGCGCAAGTGCACTAGAACGAGTCTAGGCCGAGGGGCTGGGGTATTGAAAAATCATCATCTAGTCGCAGCTTAACGCGCGCGCATGGACGACGGGGGCTTGCGTTGCTATAAGATGAGAGGGTTTTTGTGGCAATAAATCATGCCGGTTTTCAGGCTGCGCTCGCTCACCCTGGCCCTGCCTCTATCAGGCTGCCTCTTTCTCTCTCTTTCTTTCTCTCTCGCAGTGGCCGTTTAAATATGCCAATAAGAGCTACGTACGGCCGCTGGTACGAGGGCTTCGCTTGATTAAAGTCTGTATGGAAACTCGTTTCTTGCTCGGGACTACTTGCGTCAGTCGTCACTTTGGTGTAAAAAAGTTGGTCGCGGATAGGCATACGATATACGTATACACGTGCATCGCGGGGCTACACACACATATACACACAGCGTCGGATTCGCTGCTTATACAGCTACGTAGGCTGCATAAATCATGCGCGCAAGTGAAGATGATATACAGAGTATGGACAGTAGTCTTTCGATGCGCGCGTTCATGTAAATGAGCTTTTAAAAACACTCTTAGGCTAGTTGCGTAGTCGCGGGGCTGCTGCTGCGCCGCTGGGATGAATCTGCTCGCGAGATAAGGAGCGCGTAGACGTGCGACGCCGCGAGGGCAGTTTCCTTTCGGGCGATTTATGATATCGCCGCCACAGGTATGTTGCGCGGCCTTATGCGTATCAGCTGGGCTGTCCCCTCGGTTGCTGCTGCTGTAGCTATTCGTCGAGCCACTCGACGAGAGCGAGATTATAAAGTACTCGACGATCGACGCTGTATAGCTGCCAAGCCGAGAAAGAGGCTCGCTATGCTCGGTCCTTCTCGTCAAATTCAATCTACCTTGACGCCCGGTGAAAGTTTACGATGCTCGTCGTATTATATTATACGTGTTATATGCATATTACGCGCGCGATCTAAACCGTGATAAGTTCCGCCGGCGATGGGTAGGTAAACGCGATCGCGATAAAATATATCTATACGCGGCGCACCACTGCACATGTTGATTTAATGCAAAATAGTCGTTCACCTTGCCATCTTACCCGCCGCCGTCGCCGACCAATCGCGACACTCGGCTGCGACATGCTTATGCCCAGTACCCAGTCGTGCAAATAAACTTTTATAATCGACGCGCGATCCAGCTCCCCGTGGGTAATTAGGCGCACGTTTTCAGCGCTTCGCCGAGTAATATATCGAGCTGCGCATTGCAGCGCAGGGTAGATGGTAGTAAACCACTCGATGGCTTCTTTATGATTTCTATAAATTTTTCCACTTTTTTTTCATCGTGAATTTTTTCATATTTATGAAACTTATTTTATTTTCCGGCATCGATACTGACGTTAAAATTGTGCCGTTTTAGTCGCGGAAAACAAAGCAAAATAAAGCAGAATTGTTGTTACGTAAAAAAAATAAGCGAGTCGACGAATTGCTGCCTCAAAGCGAGCTCGTTCAATTCGTTTTTGTTCGAAAGCCGCATAAATGAGCCACGTGCGCAAATAATAACTAGACCGCTTACGTAATACGCGTCAAGCGCTTTAGTCGCGAACAATAACGCTATCGGTCGTTCGTTAGCCCTAGAGCATCGGCTATCGCGTTGTAAATATAATCGTTAGCCGCGAGGACCCACGACTCGAAAGGCACAGACACGCGCGGAAGCTTAGTCGGAGCTTGCGAGCGAGCTGCAATAATTAATACACACACACACACTCAGGCGCGTGCAGCACAAATATGCCACTCACGTGCGGACAAGTTGAAGCCGATCAAAATTGCTCTGTCCGTCATGTCCACTGGGCTTGCATACGCGCACCTAAATTACCAAGAGGAGGAATGGATGAGCTGCTGAATTCATCGCGCGCTCACGGCCAAACTTGCCCCAGTCCGCGTGCCGCACGTTCATCTTTCGAGATTTTTCGCGCTATATTTGCTCGACCAGCTGAACTCTCAACTTGGAAAATAGACGCATAGCTGCGACGTGCATCAAATTAATCCGATGCCGTTATCTTGCCTGTATTTTTTCAACTTGCAACGAGCTCCTGCTGAAAAAAATGTTCGCGTTAGTTACTTATCCTTTCTCGGTTATTCTTGCACCTGATGCGAACGTCAGTGCCTCATCTGCGTATAGATCTTTTGTTCGCGAGGTATCGATGCATTGGGCACCCTTCGTTAATGCAACGAATCCTCTGGATCTCAACATTATCAAAACTGGTTTATATGTGCCCATCTTGCATAGCACATTATACGTAATTGCGCACGAGAGGGAGAAAGAGAGGGTACACATCTCCATCGACGTACGAAAATTTAAAAGCCCGATCCTTTTTTCGATTTGTATTACAAGGTTTGGTATAATATACAGGCGCTCGCGAAAGTAAAAAAGATGTTGCGCCGAGCGATGATGATTACAGGTATTTGGACGAGCGGCGATGCGCGCGAGTATGTATCTGCGATCTGGATATATGCGCTCGCGTGCATTTTGCTATCAAAGCCAAAATTTTAACCCAAGGCGCGCAGCAACGGCGACGCGCGCAACACTGTCTGCGAGGCGTGATTCTCATAAACAACTCGACGCGTTATACATCACGTACGAAATCAGACTCGCGTCGTCGCGCGCGGCTCCGTGTATACGTATATACCTCATAGTGACACTTTACTCCCTATGTTCTAATCAAAACTGCGAAGACACGTGCCAGCCCTGGCAACATGGCATTCTCCATATGCAGCCTCTACACTACACTACAAGTCGTCGCGAGTCCTTCTTCTTTTTTTACGACGCGTACATCATCTTGTATTGAGAACGCATTACTCTCGTCCGACTGACGATACTTTCTTTTCTCTGTCATAAAAATGACGATCGATCCCAGCGATCCATTCGAGCTCGAGTAATACGAGGGTGATGTACCGTGGCGCTTACGACAAAAAAAAATAGTAAACGAGAGTAAGGACCGAATCTTTTTGATGTCTTGTTTTTTTAGTTTACTTATATTAAGCCGCTTTCTTCCGCATCTATACGAAAAAAATGAGACGAAAGAAATGTAAACATTTTACTTGAAAATCTCATGAAAACTCGAAAAGTAGCAGCAACTGGAATACGAAACTGTCACGAATGCGAACAAGCAATCGGAGTTGAAATGTCAGGAAAAAAGAAGAAGAAGTAAAAGAAGAAGTAAAACGACGCAGCGCCGCTCGTTGACCGAGGAAATGCTCCGGAAACGGCGCGAGAGAAAGGCAGAAAAAGGGGAAAATGGAAAAAAGGATCGGGACAAGTTTCGCGTGAACGATATGCGGAAAAGGATGGCTGCGAACAATATGAGCCATACACGCGTGATAGAGACGCGTACGTATGAGTATGTAAAAGCGAGCGTGGCTAAACTGCAACAACAAAGAAAGAGCCAAGCGAGCGAGGGATACGCAAGAATGGAGGAAAACTTGCGAGCGTACTACGTACGTGTATGGGCAAATTGGACTGTGAGCTTGCCATCCACTCGCAAGTTTTCACGGAAATCAAACATTACGAGAGAGAGAGAGAGAGAGAGAGAAAGAGATAGAGAGCAGAAGGAAGTTCTTTGACCGTTCACTTAATGAAAATTACTACTTTAGCCCTCGCTACGAGTATATACACGAGTCCTAGCATTAATTCGTCGTTTAGGCGTGTACATGGAAAAAAGTCAGGGCAAATTGATTCGAATACTCAAGTCGAATGAACTCGCGCTGCAGCAGTGCTGCTCCTCGCAGTCGCGGAAACGCGTAACGACGTCGCAAATCCGACTACTCCTCGGCGCTCTCGACTCGCAGAAAAATGGAAAAAGTCAGTGTTTTTCGCTGAAATTGCTCGACGGCAGCAGCAGCAGCAGCAGCAGCAGCAGCAGCTTCGTGGCTCGCAGTGCGTGCACAACACATGCACACACATAATCCGTAACTAAAAAGCAGCAACGCGCTCGACTGTACGTACGCTCGCAGTATTACAGAGAGTACAATGAAAATATCACTGCATAAATGAACGTGCGCGTCA